ACTTGAAATGTTTCTAAACGGCATGTAAATAAGCTTTAAAGAACACAACTTTTTCCTAATTTAACCTAAGCTGTATCTCCAATAGATACTGACATTCCCATGCTTAGGATCCTTATCTTGGACACACTGTATATTTGATATATCGAATATAAAACCTATTTTTATCATTGATATGTATCGATAAAATTGAATTGAGGTGTTATTGTCTTAATATGATTCGTATTAACATTGAATCCATGGCTATTCGTACGATTCCATATTTGTATTCAAACTCAATTTTAGTACGGATCTGTCTTCAGCGTCGACACCCCTTACCGCTCTTCAGGCTTTACTTGCTTCGCGCCTGTAGTCACTAATGCACTACTTCCATGTATTTACTAGTCAGATTACCATTTATACAATTCAATTCGATTCAAGAAGAAGGCGATTCTTAGAGGTTTATACTTCAGATATAGTATCGGGGATCAAATGAGTGATTCAAATATTATATTTCATTGCTCTATTCTGCATAATTTCCTGGAGAATGGTAGTGCTGAAAAGAATCGGTATGAGTTAATTTAGAGAAAAATAATTCCAAATCCTGAAAAGAACGCCTATGATAGGAAATATTTTATTTCGTATATATCCAGCACGATTTCCGCAATGTAATAATTTTCCATCAGTATTTACAAGCTCTATATTATTTTATTGATTTGGTGTAAATCTTTGTTAAAAATATAAAAGGAGTTTTAAAAGTTGAAGTTCCTGATGCCAATATCGAATTAATCATTTTATAAAAAGAATTTTCGAATGTATTGCAGTGGATTCTGTCATTGGATTTCAAAAAATCGTATTTGAGAAATATAATGCTGCTCAAACTGTACAGTATCACAAAGGGCTACCATTTTACGAAAGCTTTTGAAGATACGTATATTTTAAATGTAATTTCAAGACGGAAAAACCGATGAAGGATACAAAAAATGGGTTGCTTTAGGCAAGTATGCTGTCACCAAGGTTATTCAATATGCACACCAACGACCAGCCGCCACAACTTTGACCATAACTTTCATATATACTGATGACCTCGCTTCAGCAGCCACCCACTCAAAGAGGTTTAATAATGTGGAGCATCTCTTCACTAGGGCACTGGGGAGTTTCACAGAATACTACGATAGGAATTTGGTGAAACTCAATTCTTCAAAAATACAATTGTGCGCGTTCCACCTAAGTAATAGAGAAGCGTGCAGAAAGGTGAGAGTCAATTGGTGGGAGTGGAGCTAGAACATACCTATTATCCGAAAAATCTTGGGGTCACTTTGAACCTTTCCCCAACATATAAAAACACTACATGGACACCAAACAAGAGGTACATGCCCGCCATAACATTGTGCGGAAACTTACTGAAAGTAATTAGGGGAACCATCCTACAGTAATAAGAACTTCGGCACCTGCACTATGCTACTCAGCTACCGAGTATGCCTGCCTCGTCTGTCAGAAATGCGCGCATGCTGAACATAATTTAGCCGGTATAGTTCCACCCAGTATGAGACGCAAAGTTGCAACAAATATCGAAAGGCACAAGACAGACACTTTACGTCTACCAACCCCTCAGAGTCGCTTAAAGTCAAAAAGCCCTTTCTACAAATTATGGTCCCACTGAATTCTTCCCCAAACAACAAATCTCAACCTATGCCAGAAAAGGATCTACGACTCGCCTCTCGAGAAGCCCTCAGAGAACCATTCTCCTGGTGGAGACCTGAGTAGAAAACCTGAAGATGTCTAAACAGACTAAGGATTGGGGTACGCAGGACGAATGAAAATTTGGCCAGGTTGCAACAAATTCTACGACTCTATGCAGATAAGGAGAACAACAAACCACTTAACATATAAACAACTGTGTGTTGTGTCCAGAAACATGCACAATGGAAGAAAACAGCATACAGGCTTCAGATTTTTTGTCTGAAATTTCTTCATTTAACTATTTGTTTACTGCAATTGTGAACTTTTGTATTTGGTTTGTTATATACATATCATATCACTGTTATTGTAGAACAATTTGATGTACCATTTCAGTTCATGGTGCTTTCATTCAGTGAAAGGCATCTTTATTCGAATTCATAGTGTAAATATTTTATAATTCTCTTCGTAGGGTTCATACCGCAGATTATCCATAATGATGTATTTGTTCAAAAAGTGTAAATGAATAAGTGGCCCCCTCAAAAGGGTATTCTGATCCACTCTCTACAACCATGAAGTGAGGGGTCCTTATTATTACTTTTTTCCCGAAAATTGAGCTGTCTCTGACCGGAATCATTATCATTATCCATATTAATGAAATGTTATATTTTTTTTTTTTCAGTTGAGTGGATCAAAGACTTTCAATATACTCCATATAACAGACATACATTATGATCCACTTTACACTACAAACAAAACCAATGACTGTGGAGAACCAGTTTGCTGTCAATTTGACCAACCCGATGGCACGAATGAAACCAATTCTTGTGGTTACTGGGCAGATTACAAAATGTCAGATATCCCTTGGAGAACAGTGGTAAATGGATTTGAACAAACGAAAAAACATGTGAGTTTCATTATCACAAATTCATGTACATAGACATCTGACAAAAATACTAGAATACATTATGTATTTTTTTCAGAAATATGATTATGTATATTTCACCGGAGATATTATGAGCCACAGAACTTGGGAAACTAGTGTGTCGGAAAATTCTCGAGTTATCGCTCAGATCTTTGATGCTTTCTCTGAATATTACAAAGTACCAGTTTTTCCGATTTTAGGTAATCATGAACCTCACCCAGCAAACTTGTAAGTATTATTGTCGAATAAATTATAACTTCACAATTTTTGATTAATCAGAATCTGGGAATTGGTTACCTACTAAAAGTTTAAATATGAGTGCGATCTGTCAAATGTAGGTGAGAAATGACAAAACTCAACTTGGCCCTGAATTAATGATAACCTAGTTGAAGACCAAAAAATGTACCATGTTTACCAAGAATCGCTGAAATGGATTTTTTTTTCATATAGCATCTTGGCCACGAAGCATAGATGTTTCTCCATTTGTTCTTCAGTTGTGGACATTTTTTTTCTCTAGGGTGAAACTCCTTATTGGAAGCCTGTATTCCCTATTTTTTTCTCATGTGATCATGCACAAAATAAAATAATAGTACAACATGGTTTTCCCCTGTAGATTATTGATACTAATTTAATCGAGTTTACAGATCATGTGTTAGAGAGTATGGATGATCAGATGCAAATGGATGTGATCTATACGGATTTCAGCAAAGCTTTCGATAAAATAAGTCACAACTTGATCTCGCGGAGATCGGGATAGATCAGCATCTTCTGGTGTGGATATCGTAAAACATTACAAGAAGCCATCAAGTTTTGGATGTTAACGGTAACCAGTTAGAACTTTTTGTGGTTACATCAGGTGTACCACAGGGGAGTCACTTGGGCCCATTACTTTTTATAATTTATATTAACAATATTGTTAAAGTATTTCAACATTCCAACTTTTTGTTATATACCGATGACCTCAAGATTCATCGAACCATCAAAGAAATCCAGCACTGTGAGAGATTGCAAAATGATCTTGAAGAATTTGCAGAAATCTCGATAAATGTCACAAAATGACTTTCACCAGAAACAGAAATCCCATTGATTTTCAATATCAAATAGGAAATCACACAATCAAAACAGTTAACGAAGTACGTGATTTGGGAGTGATGGATTCTAAAATTATTTTTAAATCCCACATTGAGAAGACCCTTAATTTATGTGTGATATCTCATTTATTGGGTTTCATTATAAGAAATACAAGACATTTCAGAAATGCAAAAACTCTTCTTAATCTATATTACTCTTATGTATATAGTCGTTTGAATTTTGCATCTGTCGTTTTGAGTCCACAATATTCGATTTACCAACAGAGAATTGAAAGTGTTCAAAATAAATTCGTTAAACAATTGGCCCGTAAAACTGACATTTCTATAATCAATGTAAATTTCCGTCCAATTTTCGAAAAGTATTCGTTGTTGTCTCTTCGAAAAATGTCAGATATATTAATGCAATACAAATTATTCAATAAGCGTGTCGATTGTCCTACGATGATAACAAAAATTTCATTGAATACACGTTGTTGTCTTTACGAAAAATTTCAGATATATTAATGCTGTACGAATTATTCAATAAACGTGTCGATTGTCCTATGTTGATAACAAAAATTTCATTGAATACTTTTGCAGAGACTTGCGAAACCATGATCTCTTTGCAACCCCATTTATGTTGTTTGTCCAAAATATGTTGAAGCTCTATAAATTTGATTTTGATTATCTAACTCATCAATAGAAAAATCGTTCTAGACTAATCTATGAATCAAGCTATTATAAGAAGCTATTTTGTGTTGATATGAATGGGTAGAATCACAATGAATAGTAATATCCATATGGGAAGGTTTGTGATGAATTGAAAAATCAGGTTTGTTTGTTGTTCATTGCACTAATTGTCGAATTCAAGAAACTGATTGACTTTGAATTGTTGGCTTCTACTTCAATAGTGAATTTAATATTCTCATGAATTTTCACAATATACCTACGAAAAATATCTAATTGTCTCTTAATAATACCTGTGGAATATACCAAAACGTCAAGAATACAAGAAACACCTAATCAAAGGATGTTCTAAAATCGACTTCTCTAGGTTATTCATGACAATTTCCGCAAGTAAGGGGTTCAACGGTTTCTCATAATCAAACTTTTTGAAGAGGAATTGAAAATAATTCCGTTTGAAACTTAACGACAAAAGTTCAATAATTTCTTGTTTTGGAACTGGGTTCACCCAATTTTCATCTGATGATTCTATAACCGAAATAATATATCATAAGGATGTATGCTGTGAAATAGATTATGTACATCGAAGGCTGATGAATATACGTTCTACGGTAGAGTTATGTTCTTTATTTTATTCATCAAAGTTTCTGACAAAAAGCGTATTTCTGTTTTTGATCAGATATGAGATTTTTTGTGTTAAATAAGAATCAATAACGTGTTACCTTGATAACAGAGAGTATTGTCAATGTTACCATCTCCATTCGGATTTGAAAGCCGTCGCAGTTTGGAACTGCATACTAACGTTTCGCCAGCACGAATGGCTGGCTTCTTCAAAGCCAGCCATTGGTGAATAAACCTCGTGCTGGCAAAACGTTAGGATGCAGTTCCAAACGACAACGGTCTTCAAACACGAATGGAGATAGAAACACTGAAAATTTCGGTCGCGAAAGCCTTAACCCATTCGATTAGTTCAACTGCTTTCACTATATTATACTGAGAATTTTCCTCATTTCATCCCCTGGCTGGAATTTAATCAAATAAGTAAATGAATGTCAAACTTATTCCGTGACATAAAAATCGTAATTTATAAATGATGTGTGTTTTTTCTTCTAATGTTATCCAGATTAGTTCTGAAGAGACCTAAGGCAAGTATCTCACGGCGAAACATCGATGTCTACTAGTGAGAATGACAGTATTCCATGTAAGTGGAATTTTTACTTTCCATTTAGTAGAGAAAAGTGATTTTGTATAATTCCTAGCTACCCTAGTAAGGTCTCGAGAAGGAACTTGACATAATTAAAAAAGATTTTCAACGGAATAGCTACTCTAAATCGATGATGGAACATCCTTTGGCTAAAAGACATCAGGAGCATCGCTAGGAAGATAAAACCTTCACGATCAGTGATGTACCAGCAAATCAGGACCCATCAACATAACAACAAGTGGTTCCAAGCTCAAATCATACGCAAGGAGGAACACTGGTTCAGGAGGAAATTCAAAGAAGCCGCATACATGTTGTCCAACAATGTATTCCGCCAAGCTAGCGCAGATAAATGCAACACGTGGAAACCCATAATCAAGCAAAAAATGACCAACTTCCGCCAAACAGTCATCTCTTGCTAAACCAGTGAAGCAGAAAGAGGAAAGCGAAGATAAGTGAAAGTACTCGAACGACCCATAAATAGTCATCTCTTGAAAGAATTAGTCTAGTCATCACGCGAAGACGATGCTTACAATCGAAATGTCCTGAAGTAAATCAGCAGAGCATGTTTGGACCCATTAACATAACAACGAGTGGTTCCAAGCTCAAATCATAGGCAGGGAGGAACACTGGTTCAGGAGGAAATTTAAAGAAGCCGCATACATGTTGTCCAACAATGTATTCTTCCAAGCTACCGCAGAGAAATGCAACATATGGAAACTGATCTTTGATGCTTTCTCTGAATATTACAAAGTACCAGTTTTTCCGATTTTAGGTAATCATGAACCTCACCCAGCAAACTTGTAAGTATTATTGTGGAATAAATTATAACTTCACAATTTTTGATTAATCAGAACCTGGGAATTGGTTACCTACGGAAAGTTTGAATATGAGTGTCAAATGTAGGTGAGAAATGACAAAACTCAACTTGACCCTGAATTAATGATAACCCAGTTGATAACCAAAAAATGTACCATGTTTACCAAGAATCGCTGAAATGGATTTTTTTTCATATAGGATCTTGGCCACGAAGCATAGATATTTCTCCATTTGTTCTTCAGTTGTGGACATTTTTTTTCTCTAGAGTGAAACTCCTTATTGGAAGCCTGTATTCCCTATTTTTTTCTCTTTTACCATTTTGTATGCAAGTTTTTCCAAAAAACCAGAAAAAAAAAACAGAATACGAGTAAAGTCCAAATTTTTTCGCTGAGGAGTATCACACAGTCCAAGCAAAGGCAACCAAACTTAAACAAAAGTCCGAGCAGAATCATTGGCATTGCTTCAAACTTTTGTCGAACAAACACTAAATACCCGAACTGTAAGAAGTATTTCAAAGTTATGTCAAAATCAACCAGGATTGGCTCAAAGGTGGTGATAAGCGTAACGTTAAGAATTATAGACCTATGAGCAAAATATGCATTACCGGAAAATTGTTTGAAAAAATCATGCATAGAATTATTTTAGATCATTCACAAAATAAAATGATAGTACAACAACATTGTTTTTTTCCCTGTAGATCCATCGATACTAATTTAATCGAGTTTACAGATTATGTGTTAGAG